AAGAAAGAATGGTTAACTGAACACGAACTGAGCACACGTTTAAAGGGATGCCATAGGCAAGGACCTAACCTCCAATACATTATTAGCCTCATCCCACAAGACTGGAAAGATATCCTAACCGAAGCGCTGCCTTGGAAGACCGGAGAGTGGGGGGTCAAGGTGCAAGAATCCCCTCCCTTACGAGCCTTCCAATCCATATGCAACCGGGATCGACTACTACAGCCTTTTTCTCCTCCTTCCCGATCTCCCCATCCACGCACGACATGTCATCCATTCTAAAAAAGAGGTGGAATTAGTAGTCATGGACTTCTTCCTCCTTAGGAAAATAAGAGTACTCAGATTGTGGCCCAAATCAATCTTCAGGCGAGACACGCCAGTCCAGAATTTGGAATTCGACCCGGCAGAGTGGGCTTGGACACCGGACAGGGAGAGGAATATCAAGTCTACTGTCCCCAACAAACTTCTAATCAAAACAAAGGACCCCGATCCCATAATCAAAAGCAGATGGCAGAAACTAATAGGCCAGGAAGCCGACAAAATTACACAGATCCCTTGGAAGAAATATAAAACAATCAGACCTACAAAAATCAGAAGCCTTCAGTGGCTTATCATCTATGCAGCACCGCCAGGGAATCAATAGCTGCATATAAGACGGCATAAAACTGACCCCACTAGCTCAGACCTATGCACAGTCTGTGCAGAAGGGGTTCAAGAGGACGTAATTCACTGCCTAATCCAATGTAGCGAGGCGAAGGACTACTGGGCACGGGCCTCAGCCCTCTGGGATTCCCTTTTCCATCCCCCCTTCCCCGAACACCCTATCCAAATCCTCCTCTGGACTAACATCCCCGATCAGCTTCAAAAGACAGAGAAATTGTGGTTCGGCCTGATCAGGAAAGTAATGTTCTCCAACCCAAGAGATAAGGTATGAGCGGAGACGAGATCTTTACTACAGGCTGAAATTCTCTGCAGATGGCAGAGGTTAAAATAATTGATGCCCGAGGATGAGGAGCAGCAAGAAAAGGTCAGGGAGAAGTTCACCAGGCAATGGCTGGCGAATGGTAAGGTGGCTGAGTTACGGAATGACAGAGTGTGCTGCAAAGTCTGGCACAACTCGGAAACAGATCGGAGAGCCCAGTTCGTGCCAGCGACGGATGGGCAGGGGAACTGAAGTGATGAAGGGACACATCAAGTATCGGGCGCCAGATGAGTGAGTCACTGAGGAAGCCAAAGGAACTAGAGGGTGAGACTGGGAGGAGAGGACTTCGATCATTTCCCGGCACGGCAAAGACTGTTCCACACCGGACACACAGTCGGAAGGGTTTAAGATGCTGAGATGGGGCGGAACAGATGGCTCCCATCATCATCGATAAGTCAAACGGCCTCACACGCTCTACAGTTGGAGGGGAGATCATAAAAAGTACCCTGGGATCTCAGTCGTCAGGGTTTTCTTAGTGGAGGTACAATAGGGAAGGGGTGCCAATAGGAGGAATAGGGGAGGGTTTAGGGTTTAAGGATCTTAGTCTTCGGGTAACGGCTCAGCGACTTATGGTTGAAGGGTTTGGCCAGTCGGAACGGCTCAAGACAGTAGTCTTAGGCAGATGGTAACTGGTCAAGGTGGCTGAGGTTAGGGCCGGACTGAATCAATGGAGGCAGAGTGAATGCTGATTGGTAGGCAATAAAGGGTTTTAGGAAAAAGGGAAATGTTGCATCTACCTAGTCCGAAAATAGGGGGGTTCAGAGCGTGTTGAGGGATGGAGGTTGTGGAAGTGGCGAGATCCTTTCTTGGTATTCGGGCCCTATACGGCAGGTTAGTGCGGCAGACCTGAGAGGAAAGGGTATAGTATGGCAAGCTGACAGTCTATATCCTCCACATGGATGGAGCAATCAATGCCGGTCAGGGGTCCTTCGGCCGTACGGAAGGAAGCTTATGTCTGTAATTATGATGTATTATCCTTTTGACTTGCCGGTGGAATAGGAACCGGACTGATGCTCCCCAGAATGGAAAAGGAGCCTGGGCCATAAGGTCCAGTTTTGCAACAACAACAACAACAACAACAAAAAAAAAAAAA